CCCCAAAACCCCAAAACCCCAAAACCCCAAAACCCCGAGTATTTAAGTAACGTTTGAAATATAAAGTAATAATAAATATTAAAATATTAACTATGAACTCACAAATTAGTTCTAAAGCATCTGATGCCCTCCAAAGTATTTGGGATGATGAACTCCAGGTCTTGAAAGACGATGATTGCTCGCCTCAAGTCCCAAAAGTGACCAAACAGTTCTCCAATACTCTTAGAGAGAACAAAGGTAGCATCAACAAGGCTGATCTTGAATGATTTTGTCTGAACACTAATCAATTTGAAGCAGCAATTGATGTAGAAGATCGCTCAGAGATTGTTTACAATAAAGAAAAAGCTCAGGTAGAGTTAAAATCCACAAAACACAAAAGAGTGAAATCTCAGAATTATGTCTCTACCTCAGTTCCAAATTCTGCGACCATAACTTTATCCAAGATGAAGCCTGCTCTTCTGAGGAGAATTCCTTCAAGCGAGATCATGAGAAGCTTGTTAGGATAACTTTGAGCATCTGGTCTAAATATAAATAACTTGTTAATAATAATCTTAGGCATAACTAAATTTTCCACTAACCGGTTTGGGGTCTGACTAGTATTGTTCATGGATGAGTGTCTGAAAGCAGAGGGGATGAAACAGCCTGCTTTAGCAACCCAGCCTTGCTCTAGTAGGCAAGCTATAAGCAAATAAGCCTCACTATATTAGTAGTAATTCTAATTTTGAGATGCTGTCGCTTGCAAAAGTAACTGATTCAGACTCTTTGAAATTAATAATGCTAGTATTAAATTTCCCGGACATTCGTTTTATGGTTGATGTCAACTGTTTTAGATTTACCAGAACTTTCGGATAATGAAAAGGCATGGAGCAGAGTTTTATTTAAAATGAAATAAAATTAGCCTATTTCTGTGTCTTCATCAAGTTAAGTACAATCCTTTGAGTTCCCTCATTTTTGGAAGGCTTTCTGAATTAGTATCCTGACATATAATAATTTTAATATTTTTGTAATGCCTACTTTATTTGTCCAATAAACTTGAGCATGCTGCCCTATCCATAGCTTATTCAAGCCTAGGGGATATCAGAAGATGCATTGTTGATTATGATGATTAGCCCCATTTCTTAATTCTTAATGGCTCCAAACAACAATTACACATCATGCACCCCAGTCTATCCCAAGGACTCTTAATGGCATAGAAGCAACCGCAAGCAATATCCTAAAGCTCTTGTTCTCTTCTGGCTAGCTAGCTAACTAAGGCATTAAAAAATTAGAGGATCTCTAGCGATAAATCAATAAAGTAATCTCTACTACAGTAAACTTCATTTTATTGATAAAATCTTTCCTAGTGGCGGCTAAACTCTCTAGCTAGATTCACTCCAACCAGTTGAAGGCAAGATTTCTTTGCAGCTTTGAGCATGTCTCTGCAAGTCTCTGGCACCTTTAATGGGTGTAATTAAATAAGACTCTTACTTTAACATAAAATAGTCATCTTCACAAGAGACTGGTTTACACCATAATTAGGAGCGGCCCTAGAAGGTCACAGATGAAGTCCCAGGCAAATTGGATAACTAAAATCCTAAACTGGTAGAAGAGTTCATGAAAATAATAATTTAGGTAAAAAGACTTTAAAATAACACTTGGATTAGTGTTTCATTCGCAATGTTTCCAAAAATAGGAAATAATTCAAAAAGTTCTCAGGCAGACAAATACTTCAGCATGGTTGACGGGATTACCATTCAAAGTAGGGCACTTAATATGAGGAGAATGGGTAATAAAATTTAACCGATTTTATGAAAACTCATAGGTTTTAGCTGGGCCATTTTGCACTTTTTGTCAAAAATATTTATCACCGCCTTCTAAGCCATCCTGCATTAAAAAATCTCCAATTCTTGATTAATAATAGATGCTTTTGGTCACATTAAAGTGTTTTTCAAAGAACTATTAAGAAGGACCAACGAGGATATCAATATCAGTGTCTGATGAAGGAGCCAAGCTGCCTCTGAAAATCCACCCACTGGTGTGACTAATAATCAACTGAAGTTTTGCTATCAAAATAATCCAATTTATTTTTAATTTATTCAGAAATTTAATGACAACTTTGGTTAAAAATCTAGTTTTCGTGGGTCAAGATAATTTTTGCTTGTAAGCTAGAAGAGTTTTTGACAAACTTGACTTTAATAGAGATCTGGATGAGCTATAGAACTTTAAAAATTCTCTGATTATATACCCAGAAAGATTCTTGATGTTATATTTAAGAAATACAAATAACTAGAAAGCAGTATGCTTTCAGATCTGACTCAAAAGTACACCTTTTGTTAACTAAAACATTCTCAGAATTATTCAAAACATATTAGGAGCATTCGTGAAGATCTTTCCTCCTAAATTACTTCTCTTTTCAAGTAGTCTGACGCCTTTTGGGGTCATCCGATTCTATGAGCACAAGATAATTAATCAGACTAAATTTCGAATTACTAATAATTGGAGAGTTCCCTTAAATGTACGAAGATGTTGATGAGCTCAAAGTTTTAACAATAATTCCTAGCCGAACAAGAGCTCATACTCTGAGTATTTTAAGACTATAATTCAAGCATATCTAGCTAATTTCTTAAAGTCTTACAGTTACCTCTAGCCATTAGAGTAGTACCAAAATTATGAAATAATTCTGTTGTGTCTACTGTAACTGAGATTCTGCAAAATCAATAAAGTAGAGGAACTCCTAAAATCTCCTAAACCTCCTATTTAGTTGAAAGAGAACACAAGAGGAAATTGTAATATCCTCATGCATACTTAGGGTAACGATTTATCAATAAATCTTCTTGTAGTTCATAGACTCATTGTGCGAACTTCGTAACTGTCAGATTAAAAGCTGGCCTAACTAAAGACTTCGCATGCTAATATTTTCCCTATAGATAAGCCTCCCAGGCTAATTCTTGTTCTAAGAAATCATCGTCCAATTTTAGAGAAATATTAAAATATGACAAATTAGTGGAAAGAACTCCTGTTTTACTGTATTTGATAAATAAAATTTCTAATGAGAAATCATCATAGTTCTGTGGATGGTATTTTATGATTAGCAAAGGAATAATTAGATCCCAAAATAGGGATCTATAGCCATAAGCCTTTTGGGCCTAAATAAATAACATAAGTAAATGATGCCATTAAACCAACTGCAAAGTCTTTATTATCATAAAGTTTATCTTACTTGGCTTCATGGAGTCAATGCTAATCTTCAGAGACAAGCATTGATAAGAGGAACCTTCTATGTGATCATCTCTAAAATCTAAACTTAGGAAAAGAGCAATTGGACATTTTGGAGTTTCAGTCAAAATATATTATTATGGGGTTTTGGGGTTTTGGGGTTTTGGGGTTTTGGGG